ATACCTCTCGGAGGATAAGGACGGGGACTCGGATTCCTCCCAACAGTAGCCACCATCCCATCCCTCTCCTCACTTCTACTCATCATGACATTTCTTTCACAAGCCTGTGTACCTCACCCACACTTCCTCTACCCCGAAGCAGAAAGGAAGTATCATTCCTTTGTCTAGTTTGCATGCCTTAATCGAGAGAGTGCGATTGGACGAGTTGTTTCTATTTTTCAGATGAAAACATGACTCGTGCTAATAAGCAATCGAGTTTGTGCGGTTCAGCTCAGCTAGCAATACCATTGCTAGTCAAAATGCGGTCACTTTTGGCTTCGCTTTTTGTCCTTCCTCCTATGGGTCGGCCATGACAGCGCCGGTTCATTTGGGGTGTTTGGGGTTTGTGTGTCTTTGTAATGAGTAATTTATGTGCTGTTGGGTTATTAGTACAAGTACGATTGGCCTAGCAAATAACCATTCATATTCCGTCTCAAAAATCTTTGTTGTCAATTCGCAGCACTGCTTTTAACTTATTTCCGCAACAGCAACAGGTTCTACTTTATTGACGACAAGGTTTATAATGACCTCTATAAATTGTTGTTTGAAATATCTGTTCCTCGAAATGGAATTGGGATAGCCAACAATTTTCCCCCTAAACCACTCCAAACGAGACCTGACTGTTAAGTAGTACTGAATAGGTGATCTCATTTCTAAAATGTAGTTTTAAGCAGATCTTTGGATCTTAGAGGACAATTCTGTCTGCAGTGTAGCACACACTCTCAAGCATCGTCTTGTTTTGTGGGGTTAGGTGATGCCAGCCTTAGAAATGGAAGCTGAATGGTGGTGAGTGGATCTTTGTGCATTGGAAACTGTTCGTTTGTTTGTTTGTTTGTTTGTTTGACTCTCTTGCTCAACTTTGTAATGCCACAGTCTTTTCGCATCACTGCTCGTTCTGCCAATCCGTAGCTGTACTAGTCAGACAGATGGAAGGACAACAAACAATCCAAAGTGTAAGATACGTTTGATGATGTTTACACCTATGTGAATGAATTGTGTATCATCTACTTCAAATGCCATGTTTCATCGCGCTTCTTGCGTTGATGTATGACTTGCGGCACCCACTCTCCCAGTTGGTGTCGGACTGAATCCTTGCTCTCGCAACACCAAGCACTACTGACGGATCTTCGTGATAGATTGGTCCCTCCTCCCCTTAATCAATCGCCACTCCTAATTGTTCATTGTTATGTGGAAGAGCGGTTCTTACTCAAGTTGACGATGCATCATCTGCCATCATTGGTGGTGGTCCGGCACTGCTGCAGTCGAGTCTTTTGCTACCGTCTGCCGCACCGTCGCCAAATGTGAGAACCTTCTGGTTCAGATTTGGAACCAAAGTAAACTGGAATCGTAATGTAGAAGTGCTTGAATGTCGTCACGTTCAGTGGATACTTCATGAGGTTTCAAAGTAGGAGGAGACTGGCAGAGTACGAAATTGAGGTTATCCTGCCCACAAACTGGTCCACACCTTTGTCCAGAAGTTGCAGCAGGTGTTTATAGTGAGGAGTGTTGAAAAGCAAATGAATTCATGGAAATGCAATAATAGCGATTAAGGATTCTCCACCCTTTAACGCGTTTTAGAAGAAAGACAATATCACCTTTTTGCCACCATTTTCTGGCAG